AGCGAATTATTGAACCCAGGAGAGAGGTGGTGAGTGCTTTGGAAGGAATGGTTGGAGAAAGGACTGGAGGGAGGCAGCATGTCTGGCCTGGCAGGAATAGGCCTTGGGCTATTGATGGTGATTCTGTCTTCCTCTTGTGGGATTAGAGGAGGTCAGAACATGTGGCCTCCTTGCCGTTTTTGCAAATAGTTTTTCTCTGTCAAACTCCAATTTAACAGACAAGGAATGTTCATAATTTCCTTTGGAAAATCAATGCCATGCTCATATCCAGCAAGGTGCTAGATATCTCCATCCTCAATGTTACCATCCTTCTTCTCGAACTTTCTATCTAAAGATAAGTCATTTATCATTATCTCTTCACTTTAAATGGGACCAACATGTTCACGCCAGGAAGTGCCTTGACTGACACCTGTGTTTTATTTCTGAAGAATAGTCATTAAGGAGCAAATCATGTGTATGTTCAGAGGAAATCAATATCCAGTTACCATTATTACCCTAACACTTGTCATAATAATTAATACCATAAGGAAACTATCATCTCACTAGACATTTATTGGTGTAGTGCCTAAGGCATTTGACTGTTAACCAGAAGGCTGGCAACTCAAACCCACCAGCCACTTCTTGGAAGGAAGACTGGGCAATCTACTGCCATAGAGATACAGCCTCAGACACGCAAAGAGGGGTTGCTATGAGTTGGACGACTTGATGGCAGTGAGTTTGTTTTGGTTTTAATGCACAGTATTTACATTTTCATATGGTGAAATTACTTTTTTCTTCTTTTTATAAAGGTAATTGTTATAGCAGTAACTTTATGTTAGTGGTGGGAGAATATTTGCAAAGGGATAGCAAGCACGGTTGAACAATTTGAGGAATATAATCAACGTCACTGAATTAATTATACATGTAGAAACTGTTGAATTGGTGTATATTTTGTTGTATACCTTTTCACCACACATACCCATACACACAAAAGTAACTGCTAAATCCCAATAAAACTATTTCAGAACCCAGAAATTTTTGCTACAGCAGTATTCTCCATAAAGTATCATTATGTCACTCTTGAAGGGAACTCACCAGGAATCTCCAGCTCATTTCTCAAAAATTCCACTTTGAAGTTGCTCATCCAGGGTGAGTACTCGCTCAGATTCCCAGGTGGCTTCGACACTTCATTCATTTTTGAAAGTAGTGAGGTAGTGATATTGCTGAAGTCACTGAGCTTCATTGTAGGTAGCTTAAAACCTCCTTTCCCAAAATACTTATCAAATTCTTTTCCAAAGGCCTGAAATTAATAATTTTCTTTAAAGATTTATGTTTACTTTCAACTTTGGAAAGGCTCTAGGCTTATGAATGTGTATAATAAACAAGTGTTATATAGGTTTCTTCTGTGCTTTTAAAATTTATAGTTTTGTTTTCTTGACCATTTCATCGCTCTAAAACCTTTAGAGCCTGCCTTTTGTTCATTTCTTTATGTTCCTTTGAAAAAACAGAAAGGATATGGTATTGACTTTTAGTCATAAATTTTAACAAGGGCTTTAAAAACTCACAGTGCATCTTCAGGAAGGTCATTCAACCTCTTTGTGCCAATTTCCTAGTTATTGATCTAACTGATCTAACTCATTATGATGACATGAGTAACCAGGAGCAAAGTGAAAAGAAAAAAAAAACTCCAACAAAATAAAGGGAGTAATTCAATAACAGCCCATAATTCTTCATAAGAGCTGAAGTGACATATGTAAGAATGCTACTTTCTCATGCTGTTATTTTGTGTCATAAACCAATATAAACATAATTTAGATAATTTTTATTTCTAAAAGCAATTATTAGTACTCTCTTGAAATATATCAGTTCTTTCTTCATAACAATTTCTAGTCAAATGTTTATTTCAATTATAATACTAATTCCAAACCAATAAAAAAACAAAACAAAAGAGTATTACCAATAATGACTTGATTTTGGTATCATAACAAAGGCATATTGACCTTAAGGATCTGCTGAAGTGTATGTAGTATCAAGCTATTTTGTATTGGAGGATTATTACTTCAACGAACTAATGCAAATTATTTGTTATTTGTTACCAGCTGGAAATTTTTGCACAGATTTATCAAGGCACTAGAAATTAAATTCACAAAAGCATCATGCCTAGAAGGAATGCTTTGGTGCTCCTGTCACCCTGCTGGAGCTTCTCAGTGAGATGCGCTCTGTGACAGTCAGGAAGCTTGGTGGGTCTACACTAACAGTTTAGACTCACACTGACAATAACAGGGGAAGTCTTATGGCATTTACTATGATAGTAAAGTAACTGGCCACAGACTCAAAGGGGCAGTGGGCAGTGTTTGCTGGGGACTGTGTAGAAATTTTTCAACCTGAGACGATTAAGAAGAATGCTGCAGACATTCATTCTCAGTCTGCTCAGGAGACAAACAAGGAACATGCTACAGTAACACTCCCTTCCTCCTTCTAGGTGGACATGAGCAGTTAGAGAGCACGGCAGATTAGAGAAGGCTTCGTAGAAGAGATGATGATGCTAAGCTAGGAGATTTGGGCTCTAGTCCTCTCTGATACTCTCATCATTTGACACTGGACAAAGTTTTTCAGCTTTAGCTTCCTTTGTTAGAACAAGGCTTGGTAAACTCTGGCCTACAAGTCAAATCCCACCTACCCCTGTTTCTGTCAGTATGTAAGTATTGGAATGTGCCAGCCACACTCATTGGCTTACACATTGTCTGAAGCTGTTTCATACTTCCATGGTAGGCATGAGTATCTCCAACAAGAGACTAGGATGGCCTGTATACCTTTACAGAAAATGTGTTCTTACAACTGATTTAAGAAAAACAAACACTGACACCTTTTTCCAAATCTAAGACTCTTAAATTTTATAAATTTTAAAGCTAGCACATTTGTTTTATGTTAAACTTACCATGTTCATGTAACTACAGTTAAGTATCATTCCTATTCTGGAGATCCTCACATATTCAATGTGTAGCAAGGCTATAAGTTAGGTTTCAAGGGATGTGGCATCTAACATGGGCCACAAAAAGAAGTATAAAGGTTAACGTTTTATCTTCACATATTAGGCTTGTTTTTACCAAGATCTTGATTAGGAAGGCAACTGTTTCTAGGAAAGAACCAAGTTTTCAGGAATATATAAGTAAAAAGTGGGAACTGCATAAAATCTGAAAGAAAATCAACTTATTTCAACTTGCATATTTACGAATCTATTAAATAATAAAAATAGAACAAGAAGTTATTTCAAAATAGTTTTTTTTTTTTAATCCCCAAACTGATACATAAGTTTAATGTAATTCTCACCAAAATCCCAGGAAACTGTTTTGTAGATAAAAACAATATTTTTCTAAAATTTATGTGGGAAGTTAAAGAAATTATTTTGAAAAATAAAAAAGATAAAGGAAAAAGTCAATCCATTTTCAAGACATTTTACCGATATAGTAATCAAGATTACACAGCACTTGTTGAAGAGACAGAAACAAGAGAAATGGAACAGAGTAGAGAATCCATAAATAGACTCACACATATATGTTAAACTGATTTTTCCCAAAGGTGCAAAAGCAATCCAATGGAGGAAAGATAATCTTTTCAAAATATGATGCTACTGCAATTGGAAATGTTATTGTTGTTATTTGCCTTTGAGTCGGCCCTGATTCATAGCGACTCCTCCTTGGGTTTCCGAGGCAGTATCACTATGGAAGTAGGATTGCCCAACCTTCCTTCACAAACCAAAAATAATAGTAATAATAACCAACTCCAACATAAGTATCAT